CGGGAGTGGATGCGGAAGGCAGGCCCCGAGATATACGGAACGCTCACCGACCTGACCGAGACGGGAATGTGCCGAATATTGGGAAACAATACTCGCACGATTTCTATAAATTGCGTTTAGATTCAAGTTTGTAGCGACACTAATATTTCACACGCGCACCAATGCCAGAGCACCGCGGGCGCCCTTGTATTTACATTCCGCGCCCTTAAAGTGTGCGCCGTTGTCGAATGGGTCCTATCAATCCTTCCGTCCTAAGGAAAAACGCCGTATGAACATTCCAGAGTTGTCAAATTTCCTCCCACAACATGTTTATTTCTTGGGAAAGCTATGAACATTTTTCCTTGAAATTTTCAGGAGCTTTAGGTGAAATTGCGCACAAAATTATCTGAAAAATTGGAGGACAAATATTAGAGACAAGAGACCCTCAACTGGCCTCTTGGCGACAGGCGGAAGCTTTTACTTTCGGAGATTCAACAGTTCCTTATGGACAATAATAAGAAAGTAACAGTCATCACCCTAATTTCGACTGTTGACCTACCTACTATGATGGATGATGAGTTTCGGATGACGGCATGAGCCAAACAAGTTTCCCAAACTTCGACTTGTTTTGGCTTGTTTACAAAACGGAACTGCCAACATGTTGTTAAGAAGCATCAACCATGTAGGTAAGTCAACAGTTAATTGTTGAAGTCACAAAAGTAAAAGCTTCCAAACATAGCCGAGATACGAGTGGAGGGTCTCTGACAAATATTTACAAATTTTCCTAAAAATTCGTGATTTACCAAAGGAAATTTGGCAACATCTGATGCTTTATACGGCGTTTTTAGTTAGCAAGGCAGCGATTTCTTCAAGATGGTTTGGGTCGATAGAGTTCGAGGTGAGTTCAACAACTTTCGTTATGGACCGAGGGTGAACGAGAGAAAAGTATGGTTAGTCCTCGTAAGAGTCCTTTCGACTTTCGAAATTTAATTTTTAATCAATTTAAAAATGAATAAAAAAACACTAAAAATGTGTCTGAAGTAACGGGATGGTGGATTTCCAGTAACCAGTTGAATTTACAACTTAGCACTCCAATGCATCTGTCTGAAGTGAACCCTCTCCTCCCCCAGGCTTGCACTGATATGAAATCATTAGAGTTCAAATTTTTGAATCAAATGAAATTTTTGACATTTTTTGGCCTTGATTTCTCAGAAGCACTATTCTACCTCCTTACTTAAGAATTTAGTTTAGTTTTCAGGTTTTTAACGTTGACGATGTTATATAGGCGCTGTGAAAAAAGAAAAATGTAACGCAGCAGTTCATAAGTTGCGCGGCATCTATACTATAAGCTCCAAGACCTCCTAATTTTGCGAAACTGGTAACGCTTAATTCCAGTGTTCTACCGGGCCGATTTTCATGGTTTTTGCGGCTATCGACGGGCAATTGCCTCTAGATAAGTTAACTCTTTTCAGATTTTCAAAATATGGCCCAGGTTTTTTTTATATTACGTGGTAAAGTTGCGAATTCTCCCATTTAAACAATGTAAATTTATACTTTTTGTCATAGTTCGTTTGAGCGTTCTACCGGGCCGATTTCCATGATTTTTGCGTAAATCGACAGGTAATAGGCCCTAGATGAGCCCGCTGCAATCAGATTTTGGAAAAAGGACCCAGGTTTTTTCCAAATCACGTTATAAAAGTGAGTGAGTTTACAGAATGCTCCGGTACTGCTACCGCTATGCGCGGAAGGATGCGCAATGGTCAAGGAGGTTGCGCAGTAGCTGGGTAGCTTGCGCATCAGCTCTACACTTATCTACACAAGATTCGCACCTGCAACTTCATGTCGAGCGGTGGCCGAGTCGTCTAATGACGTCAAATGCGTCCGCTTTGATCACAGTGTGGGTTCGATCCCCGACTTATGAAATCTTAATTATTACCTGACTATCATTATTCATTGTTTTACTGCAATATTTCATCAAGCAGTCATTCCAAAACGCGTCCTTTTAATTTTAAAGTAATTTTAAGTAAAGTTTAAAATTAAAGTATACCTCATATCGTATTTTTTTAGGGGAAAAATAAAACTAACACTGACAGGAGGGTAAAAATAAGGCCGCGAAGCGGCCCATTGATGGTGCGGAGCGCCTTCAGGGGGTTGGGCCGCGTAGCGGCCAGGGGGCGTAGCCCCCTAGTAAGTTCGTATTAAGCAAGGTATAGGGGAATTAATTCAAAGTCTACAATTTTGGATTACGGCGAACGTAGCCTAAAATGCTATCCCGGCTATTTTCCATTGACTTTTGTGAAACTCGGTGTCAGGGAGTACTTTATGATGGGGACTGTCTCTGATATGGAGAAGGTACCTCACAGCATTAAACATTCAGACACTCAACATTTGTTTAAATGAAGTTGTATAATTTATTTTAACCCGTAATGTCCTTTTAGGTTCTTCGTAAGTGATATATGAAAATCAATTTGCATTCAATGTCTGCAGCGCAAATATCACTCAAGTCAACACATTCAGACTGCTGTGCTGTCCGTCGGTCGCGGTCGGACGTGTATAAAACGCCTTCAAATGCGCGTGATACTGTGCAACACACCGAAGTTGAAATAGTTGTATTCTTAGGTTGGAACCTAACTCGGGTAAATTACTCCACCAAAATAAGGCATGCCAACCTGTTAATTTAAATTTAATTAAAATGAAGTTCGTAAAGTTCTGTCCAATAATGATGTTAAGACAACAATAACATCAAAAGATTTAATAAGACTGGAGGTTTACAACATTAAACACCGCGATCCAAAAATAATAAATAAATCTGACTGATTCTGAATGGATCAGAATGTATCAGGATTGATCAAGATAAAGTGGAATGGATTTAACAAAATCGTTGAACTTCCACCTAGATAGCTACGACCTTGCTGAATTTAGCAAGATCGGGCTAGTGTGGGATTTCATCACTTATCTGGCAATTGTGCGTACCGATCCGAACATTCGAAGGGTGGCTTGTAGTTGTGCGGAAAAGTCATGTTGAAAGTTTTCTATACAAGTTCATAACACGATATTATTGCCACTGCTCCTGGCGCAATTCTGCCCTCAGCGAGATGAAATTTGTTTAAAAACGCAGGCGACGATAATAATTCGGTAGCGCAGACAGCTTGAAACGACTCCAAGGTGATTCTTCTCGAAAAAGTACGATCCTCGAAAGGATCCGGCAACGCCGGACTTGCTCATTTTTCAGTGATGAAAGAGAGAGACGCCACGTTCGTTTTAAAGGTGCCTAAAAAGTCTGTTTACATCTTGCTTACGTATAATATGTACAATTAAATTCTGTAGAATACTTAAAAGTATGCTAGGATTGAGAGAGTGTTCCTCATCTTTTGTCTGCTCCATTAAATGACGGAAAATATGGCATGAGATCTAGGTTTTGGTGCATTCTTGGAGTTCCTAGCGTTTTTTATGAGGACATCATTTATTTCAAACTTGTGAGATACGTGTTAATAAACAACACCAGAAAAATCCTGCTACAGATTTCTTTTTGCGGTCCCTTACATTTGCTGTTGACGGTTTTAGCGTTTACAATTTTTCCCAAGTTTTAATGTTAACAATATGTTGAGAGCCTGGAGAGACGGTTTCCAAAGAAACTTTTGAGACGAGACTCTTGTTAATTTCCTCCCCTTTTCTCTGCAAATGTTCTTTCTTTTCATCCCCCCCCCCTCTTTAAGTTTTTATGAGCCTGTGTCACATGGATTTCCGAGGTTTGAACCCTTCTCCTTTTCTACTTTTCATTCATAGATCTACGGAGTCATAAGTAAAGAGAGGATATTCAATACACGGTAAACGCCATCAGGTGTTCCTAAGATTATGCAGGATGTTTTTTACCGTAAAAGAACCCATACTCACTCCTCAGTACATGGAATTTTGAACGGAAACTGTTCTTTAAAGCTTGACTTTGTTTTCACGACATAAATTTTTATACGTACGCCACTGAGTTGGCATTAAATTAAACAGATCGTTGCACAATTAGCAACACCTGTCTGTGGTTACCAGGTTATAAATTTATTCTCTTCAAGTAACCATCCCTAAGTGGAAAATTCATTCATAGACCAGAATTTTTTTTCACGAGTGGTGCCTTGAAGAAATTCTGTTAATTAAGTCTGGAGCCGAAGGAAATGTTGCAATCCAATGGCAGTAGATTAATTTCAGCCGATTATTTACATCAAAAGTGAACGAACGGAGCGTCAAATTCCGCGAAGGTATTTTCCCCTCTTCACTGAGCAAAGATTACATTTCCGTTTTACTAACTTTTAATTAAAGCGGATTATAAACAGCTTTTCACTTCGTTTCCCGAACACGGCGGAGGGGAAATTATGGTTCGCAAACGCATCACCGCGCGCGTTTTTCCTCCTTTGTTTGTCATGATTATAAATTTAATAAATCAAAATATGGGGCTTTCAGGGAAGAACACTAATTTACTGCCGCTCTTAGTTTCCTTTTTTCGAGTCTTTCTTTTTATCGGGTGCTAGGAGCAAGTATTTTGTTTGACGCTATGTAAAAAAGCTTTTCTTTACACGCAAAAATCATCTGATTGCTACTCATTTAATTCCCAATGTAACTATATATACGGACGGTGAGACTAATCGCAAAACCAAATACATCCCGTGAAACTCCGGTGTTACACAATTTTCATCATAATTTTTTTTCTGAGGAGCACCATTAAGTATCAAAAAAAAAAAAAAGAGAGAGAGAGAGGGGGGAGAGAGAGAGAGAGAGAGGGAAGAAAACGAGAGAAAAATGACAAATAATTGTACCTAATAATTCAAAGAAATAAGCGTAGTGGTGATAGTGTAATGCGTTTATTTCTAAGAGGTGCCTTGACATTACGCATTCAGAAAACGAAAAAGTAAAACAAGTTCAAAAAATAAAAGGAGGAGGGAGAAGGATTTGCGGTCGTTCGAGAGAATTGGGGTATGTCAGCTGTTCCTACGTATTTTCTAATGGACATAACCTTCTCATTTGAAGAGCGGTCACCACGGGCGGAATCATGGAGACCGATTTTATCAATAGGGTTAAGATTCGTAAGTCTCTTTTCGCCCACTTTAACCTCAAATTTGTCTTGTTTCCGCCCATTATTCCATCAAATTTCATCAGTTAAATTTTGTGTGTACAGTTTCGTAATGATTTTCGAGACTAAATTCCAGTCGTGTTCAAGTTTTCTGTCTTTTTATGAGGAGAAATGATGGGAGACTACCTATCCGCCTCCTCCAGCATTGCTAACCTGGTGAGTGTGCACTAAATGTACATCCTTAACTCACAATAACATGAAATATTTGAGGTTGTTTTCCTGATGCCTGATTTTCAAACGCTTGCATTTCAACTATTTTTAAAGAGTGCGAATTGGCTCACATCATTTTTCGAAAAAAGATGTACAAATTTAGATGGTTAGTTTATCATGAATGAATACCTTATAGTACCACAATGGAATCTTGATTTTTGATCTCGAGAATCGTTTGATAATTAACGTTCCCAAGTTTTCGGGGATAATCAACAACAAGTTATCGCACTTGGGTGTTCACTGTCGCTCAGAGAAATATTACATCGCATAGATATTTGGACGTATGTCTGCCAAACGGAGCTATGTGCATTATGATGTGAGCCATGTTATGCATAATGTCTTATGAGTCTCAGGGCTCATGTCCTAATAATTATAGTTCCGTTTGGTAGAAATACGTCCATTTGACCGTTGCAGAAATTTATTCTGATGGAATGCGTCTGTTTGGTAGACGTTTGCATTATTTCTTTGAAATTTTCAGATTACTGTTTTTGTGAAATAATTCCGGTATATCTAAAAATACCAAGGAAATGTATTCGTATTTTGTCTCAAATACAAAGGCTTTATCTGGGGAAGGAGAAGATTTTGAAACATTCGAATGTTCGCACGAATATTTCGATTCTTAGCATTCCAAAATACTGATCGTGTGTAGAATGAAGAAAAAAATCGCCATAAAATGTTCTTTTTTCGTTTGGATGCGTTTTGACATAGAGATTGGATTGTCTCAATTTGAGTTACCCTTACACGGAGAAAAAAACTTCATACGTGGGACCCGAAGTTGAGGTCATGGATCTCTAAAGTTTTCGGATCACGTATCTAAAAACTAGAGGTCCAGCTGCCGAAGTTCGGGTCAGACATCTGAAGTACTTCGATATATACCGAAGGGTTCAGGTCACACAACTGAGGTACTCCGATACATACCGAAGTGCCTCGATGTCTGACCCGAACTTCGGCAGCTCGACCTCAAGTTTTCGGATGCGTGATCAGAAAACTTCAGAGATCCATATGACCTCAACTTCGGGTCCCATGCACTAAGTTTTTTTCTCCGTGTATTAATATGCAGGAGCAAAAATTATGGCAACGAAATACCAGAAACATGTGAACAACGTTATATTTTAAAATCACATTAAATGCACGTAATTACTTATGAAGACTTTAAAGCATGTAAAAACTATCTGAAATTTATTAACTGTTTACTTAATTTATTTGTAACATTTAATCCTATTTGGATTTTAGGCGTGAAGTAGAAGCATAATTTATATTAAAAAAAGTTAATCTCTTCGTGCTGAATTTACCTCTTTAGTTCGAATGAAAATGTCGTAATAAACATGTCTAACGTTTGCTGCCGAGTTTGGACAGATTTGCCGTGCTAAGGACAAACGCCGTATGAACCTTCAGGCGTTGCCAAATTTCCCTGGATAAGACACAAAATTTCCTGGTAAACTTATGAATATTTTCCAACCAATTTTTCAAATAATTATATTCTCAATTTCACCGAGAGTTCTTAAAAATTTCAGGGAAAAATGTTCTTAAATTTCCTTAAAAATATATATTTTAGTGAAGGAAATTTGGCAACTTCCAAATGTTCATAAGGCGTTTTTCCTTAGCATGTCAAATATAGCGTTGTTTCTTTGCAAATCTATAATTTTTCATAATCAAAACACAGTTAATTCTGCACTTTTTATAGCTCACCCAATGTCAATGTTGGTCTTTTTTGTAAATTCACAAATAATTCCCTAAAATACGCTTTACTTATACTTAAAGCTCGGGATCCTCAGACTTCTGGAATGGCTTAAGATCTACTAATTGACTGTATTTCTCTTCTGTAGATTTGGAGTACGATGAGCAAATTGCAGCACACCCGAGCGCGGTTAGAGGGCGAAGATGAGATCCTCTAAATCTGGATCACCGAAGGACGGTCAGAGCAAAAATCAATCCAAAGAGACATTCTGGCAAAAGCGAGTAAGTCAAGTGGAGAGCGTGCTACTAAATAAGAACAAAAGCAAACAAAACAGCAGCAAAGAAACGAAGGACAAGAAAAAACAACATCAGACCGCCGGCGAGCAACTAGAGTGTCTGAAAAAAGCATTAGAGAGTCTAACGCAGAAAGAAGCCGAACATTCGAAACGACAACCAAAAGACTCAACTTTTGACTCCGCACCCCCAACAGAAGTCGAAAATCTGCTGAAAAATGTCAGGTCTGACGACATCCTCTGCTACTCGGACGGAAAGAACAGCTTAATATACTGTCCCTCCGAAAAGGGCATTAACTCGGACTTGGATGTCTCGGACGAAAGGAGGGGTGGATCTGCCTCTAAATCGACGGTAAAGAGGAGTGCTTCGCCAGAGCCCTGCAAGAAAATACGAGGAGGAGAGGAGCCATACCACCCAACGAGAGAGGTCTGCGATGGTAAGAACACGCGAGGCGGGTCGTCCAATCATCGGATGAGCGTCGATAGGAGACATTCGGATCGGTGCAAGAGGGATGAGAAACGGGAACCGAGGGAGTGCTGCAGAGCAGACGTCAAAAAATCAAGCGAGAAAAAGCCAAAATGGAGCGAGGCGTGCAAACAAATCTGCAAGAAGAAAGCGCCACAAGAATGCTCCAAGACGGGGCACCTGAGCGCGGGCAGAGGCCGCACGCGGTCGGACGACGAAGAGAGCTTAAAGGGGCGGTGTAAGAGGAGACACTCGGACGTGGAGGAGCGAGGAAAGAAAGGAGGACGGACAGAGGAAAAGGACACAAGATCTCGTGGAAGTCAAGCGAGTTTAAAGAGGTCATCGGGGAGACATGGCTCTCGAGATAGGGAGCGACATCGGGATCGCAACTGCCGGACGGAAGCGAAGCGAAGCTGCTCGCGGTCGCGGAAGGAGGACGCGGACCGCGAGCGGAGGCGGAGGAGCCACAGGAGCGGGACCCGCGAGAAGACCGAGGCCGGCAGGTCGGTGTCGCGGGAGCCGGAGACGCCGCCCAAACGGAGGTCCAGCCTCAAGCGGACCTCCCCGAGCACCCGGAGGTCCAGCTCCAGCGGGTACCTCCGGGACAGTTACGGCAACGAACCGTTGCCACCACTAGGCTATCCAGCGCAGTGTCCCCCGTACCCCAACTCTTCATACCCCATGCAGAATGGCACGATGCCCGCTTGGAATTCCACGCTCCCGCCAATCTCACCGGTTCCATATCCCGACGGCTCTTTCGGGGCCCAGTGCGGGTTCATGGATCCCGAGTTCGACGCCAGTTCCATCCGCTACCCGCAAGGTCCTGCCATGAGTACCCCCATCCCGCGGAGGAATCCAAGAGTTGGTGGGCATATGGATTGTCCCTCGGGTGGCTACATGGAGACCCTACCGGAGCACACCATGGGGTCGGGCTACTCCCAACGCCCGTCTATGGCCCATCATTCCATGACACCTCTTCCGATTCTGCGGGGCTCCAGAGGACCGCCTGGTGGTCCTGCGATGAACGCTTCGGCAGCGATGAGTGCTCCAGCTATGTACGGACGTTCTGCATCTTCGATTCCCGGTCGCCCTGTTGGCGTCTCTTTCCCGCCGCAATCGCCCTACCAAGGACAACAGTTCCCGAGCCAAGATCGTCCGGTTTCCACTCCGTCCGGTGGTATTGCTTGTTGCAATACGTGTTGCAGGCCGGCTCCGTGCTGTTGCCCCACCCAGTTTTGCGTGGTCGATAATCCGTGCGCAGCGTGCGCCGACCCCGAGTACTACGAGTGCGGCGAGCACATCCACGAGACCCCGTCGCCGATGTGCAACTATCACCGCTACATGTGCGAGAGGCAGAAGTCGGCCATCGCCGAGAGCACTGCCGAGCTGGACAACACCTATCTTCGTGACTGCATGCCCATGTCGGCGCCTCGTTTCGACAAAACCAAGTTACACGCCGACCCCAAAGGCCGCCGTCTCCAGCCCAGCCTCAGTTGTCACGGTCTCAGCCCTTCTCAACTCCAGCACCCTGTCGACCCGCAAATGATGAGCCTCCTCTACAGAAGTAAGTGCTCTTGAATTCTTCGATTACGATTACAGAGGATTTTGGTCGCTATGGCGTTGTACAGGACGGAGATCTGTCCTTACGCTATTGGCAGGTTTCCGGAATGGACACATTTATCGCATTAGAGGGAGGTACATTTTAAATACCTCGATCGAAGACATTTTTCAAAAACTGTGTTCGGAGATTAATGCACCATACTAAGAGAGCTGATTTTTTGCCCATCAAATTAACTTTAATTTTTCTGTTGGGGGAAGTTACTCCGAAATATATTTCGTTTTAAAAATAATTCGTTTTTTCGGTTTAAGAGCCCGTCAAAGATTTTGAAATTTGTCAAAAATTCTTTTTCAAGAGGTCAAATGTTGGTAAAATTGAGGCCTGAGAGTCTTTTTCCCCATTTTTTGTAGTTTCAAAGCTTTCATGGAAAGGCAGTATGCAATATCTCTACAAAAAGGGTGCATTTATATTTATTGTAAAGTATTTGCCTGCCGTTTTTTCGTGAAATGTAAACCTTTGAAACCACAAATAATGAAAAATGTACTGAAATTATACACTAGACTCAAGTGTTACCAACATTTGACGTCTCGGAATAGAATCATGGACAAACTGTGTGGTCGTTGTTTTTTTTTTGTGTTTTTCTTGTTGCTATTTCTCTTATATTGCAATCTATAACTGCCAAAAGTCTATTGATATACATAAAATTAGAAGACTGGTCAAACTTTCGGCGCACAGTGGAACGACCGAATAGAAGAGGTTGGACATGAAATTTTCGGCTAAAATTTCAAATTTTGATGTTAATTTCGTCACAAATTCAATTTCAAGGGGAGTTCCTGAGAGACATTTTCATAAAAAACCAATGAAACCCCACTTAAACCTCTTTGTTTCGTATTTCAAAAAATATAAGCTTTCAAAGTTACCAGATTTTGTCCGACTTCTACCATTAATTCGGTCCACTATGCGGCGGTACATCTCAAATTAAAACGAAGCATTTGATTCATTAAATAATATTTTCTGAAAAAATTTAATAATGTATCAATATATGGTCTTTTGGAGCAAATATAGTGCAAGGGTTCTGAAATCTCCGGGTGAGGCAATATTACATAATTTTTTGATAGTTTTATTCCTCCTATCTTTGCGGTTCAACCACATAACTTGTTTTTATTCTAAATAATAAATATGCCATTAAAGATGGGCATAAGCGATTGATCAAATGTACTTAAGGAGACACTATATCGATAACAGCACGGTTCACCTTTTCTTTGCTTTTCAATTGGATAAAAAGGTTCTTTTTATTTTCTTCTCTCTTCCACCCTTAACGGATTGCTTCAAGTTTTGTGACTCGCCTGTCCTTCAAGGCGTATCAGCTCTTTAACCTACATTTAGTTTTACATTAGCGTGCGAACTAGAGGCAGGTTTTCTCCTCCCCCCTCCAAATATGTATATACTAATCGCAGTTTTCCGTTCATAAATGTCATGCTTCTTCCCATCAATTATCTACGCCGAGAAGGGGGGGGGGCATAATTTAATTTCAAAGATGTAGAAATGCGCGCAGCCGCAGAAGCTCCGAAATTCGGAATTATTGTGTTCCTCAAATCTTCCATAACACATTTGTTGCCCTGGACCTATGACGTTCAACTTTGCATGATGAAAGTCACTCTCAAATTATTTTCGACACTAATTTCCCGGCCTATTCGGTCTCTAGGTTGCTCATTTCAATCGCCTATTCTCACACTTGAAGAATATATGCTCTGACTGCACTGTGCTTAAAAAATGAGGTGGAAGCTTTAAGTCAGAGAAGGCGCACTCATGGCTGATAAGATAAAACGGCCAAGAAATTAAATGTCCGTCATTATAATTTTCTTTAAGTCAACCTGTTACCTAGCACTCCGTGCAAAATTCAGGAATCCTATGAAAATGTCGTGGACCCCTTGAACTACATGAATGATATGCATGATAAGTACGTTATTATTTATCTTATAATCTTCTTCAAAATATGAAAAAGTTTTATCATTTGAGATTTTAAAAAAATTCCACTCACAGAAAACGTAGTCATCGGTATTGCACTTTTGAAAATGCAATCCTACAAAGGATAATACAGTGTATATCAGTGCTCTGTACATGAGATTTAAAACTTAAACAAATTTTGATTTTAATTAAAACCTCTAGAGAGGGAGATCCCTAGGAGATAGATGCCATGGCGGGTAGGCGTTACAGAGTCCTGGTACGCTGTAAAAATGACTAATACAATAAATGATTCGCGTAAAATTGATTTTGGTGTAATGAAAAGAAAATAGAACAAACATAAATATTGTGTTAACATTTTTTGCGATTTTATTTTAGATCATTCTGGAAATCTCCCGGAAACTCTTAAAAAAGTGTGTGAAGCTTTATTTTTTTTTCTTTCTTTTTTTTTAAATGATTAAACATAAAACATAAGTAGAAATGTGAAACGTTGCAATCGGAGAAAAGAACACTTTTTCCCGAGTGCAGGAGTCTATGTTTGATTTCATTCATGGCAGGCGCAACGAGATAACTATTCGACCACGGGTGTAGGCATATTGCCGCTAGCCGGATGGAAGGCGCGTTACACTGCGAAGATGACACCACCGCGATCTCTGCCCTGGCTTGCGCGACGCTGAAGCCGCCGCTAAACTAGGACTACACGTGTCATCATTCTTGACTTTCTGCTCCGGTTTCTAGGACCATAATTAAAGGGAAATTATGTATCCTTATTCTAACAATTCAAAAACTCGGATGATATTCAATTTTGTTGGTTACATAAAAAGAAAATAAAACGAACGAAAATATCTCGCCGAAATCTGCGATGCTTTTATATGAGATCATCATATGGGAAAATTCGCTGAAACGTTTCAGAAAAACTGTGTGCAGCTTTTTAAAAACATTGATTAAATATAAAACTTTTGATGGTGCAGTCAGAGATAAATACGCTTTCTTTTGCGTGCATCCATTGGCCTTTGGATCCATTCATCTCTTAAATAACTTGAACATGGTTGTGTTACGATTTTTTATCAGTGTATCCTTCGGAAAATTTTTACGTTTTTACGTTTTATGTACTTATTTACGTTTAGTTTTTCTTTAGTGGTTGTCAACCGCGTAATGGCCACAGGCCCCTCGTATAATTTATACATATGAAAACTGTTTCGCCATTTTTTAAATCTTCAGTAAATTTTGCAAGTTGTTTTAAAGTATTTCTGAACTGCATTGTGATGACAATGTGTCAAAGAGCTCATATATGTTTTTGGAAAATTAAAATATTTACATACGTGAACTATTTGGAACTGCTGAACGGGAAAGAGTTGAATATGAGAGACAGCTGTGATAAGTTTGAATGAACTCTTTGACTCTCACGTTATTCTTGTCAGCACTAGAACTTATAAGTTCTGTACATAAGTTGGGCATATATGCCCAAGAAAAGCTTAATCATATCAGTCGAAACGGTTATAGGACATTTCGTCAACGATTTTTTGTCCGCGCACCAGTAGTTTACGTCCACGCGTTTTTTCGGCACGGGAGTTTCGGTCCACTTACCACTTGAGACCCAAAGTTAATTGGTCCACATGTAAATACAAACGACAATTGCTTACGACGTTTTTGGATGAAAATGTTTAATGTCTTGGAAGAATGAGGGTTTGTTTGTTTGCTCTAACGGAGAAAAATATATAATTGAGATTTTTGGTAAAAATGAGGGAGCGTCATTTCCATGTGAGAAAATTCACTAAGACTTTCTACACCTCTTTGGTGCGACAGGACTTAATTATCTTTCAAGAAAATCCCATATTTTTATACCTGAACTGGAAAACCTTTTGATTTGCCTCAGTTAAAGGATCTCATATTTTTCCTGTGCATGATAACTTCGCTCGGGCACTGGTTTGCCGCAGCGCTTCGAGCTACTATTTCGCCACGTAGGTGTTGCACAGTATCATATGAGATCGAAGGCACCCAACGTATCATGATTGATGGCATCTTTCAAAAGCACGAAGTTCCCTCGCAAATTGAATCGAGTGAAGACAACAAAAAGAGAGTGGTAGTCGAAAAACTTACTGTCCTAGTATCTGTATTTAATGACGTTTAGTATGATTTTTAACTTCATTCAAGGAACAAGTAACCTAATTTAAGGAGAAATATCCTCAAATTTACCGCCGAGAAGATTTCCTTATGAGTTAATAAAGAAAATAATGTTTTTTTAAATAAGAAAAGATGATTTTATAAAAAGGAAAGTCACTTACATCAAGCAGAAACCCGCTTTTGTTCACCTATTTTATTCTTGATTCAAAATAAAATCTTCTTGACAGCATACTCAAGAATGTTCCTTTATCTCTCTTATCTCGACTTATTTTGCAAGGAAAGTTCCGTACTCTTAAAGGGTGTCATTCTTATTGTTGGTATATTGGAGTGCCTTCAATTTCCTATAATACTGCACGACACCTCTATTGTGAAATAGTGAAGCACCGTGGCACGTGGCCCGTTGCGGCGCGACCAGCCAGCCAGCCAGCCAGCATGGAACGCGCATTGGCGCCTACAAACCTAAGGGATACCTCAACCATTGCGCAATGCGTGAAGTATCTGCTTAGGTTTGTAGGCGCCAGTGCGCCGAGTGCGCGTTTTGTGCTGGCAGCACGTCGCATCACTCCGCTTTATGCTAGGGCCTATTATTTAAACTCGCGGAGTCAACGTTTTTCAACTCATGATTTTTATATGTTTGCACACTCTGCATGAATTACTTCAATTCAAATTGATAAAAAAAATATATATATGAAAGGAAAATTTAATGTGTGTTTTGTAAATATTAAGGTGTTTCCTTGTCGTATTTAATGATTTTCAATACATATTAATTTTTTCTTTTATATTTTGTGCTTTTATTGTGCTGCAGCGTGGCGTGAGCGCAACCAAACACTCAAAATAGGACGTATTTTACTCTGAAAGATCGATGTGCAAATGGGATAAAACCGAAGATTGCTTGCTTCTCGGTTTTTCCCCTCTTTTATTCATTTGTGCATAGTTTCTTTTGATACAACTACTGCTCATTGACTTTAATATCGATTCCATCGCTTGGAAAAGGTTTTACAAATATTTGCCACGTTTTCAAAATGTAAATGTTTTTAAAGTAAAGTAATATTTTCATTAAAAAAAAAGTATCCATAAGGTTTATTTCTCATCGAAACTTTTAAGGATGGAAATAAAACCAAATATTCACCCATGACAATTTATAAAAATTGATCAAAAGAAGGAAATAACATTTCATTTAAAAAATGAGTTACCACAACAACTCTTCCGTCTCTCTCAATTTTCTCATTTCATTATTGTCAATATAATTTTACATACGGACTAAAATATGACACTTGGACCAAGTCACTGTTGCTTATTTCACGCGTGGAAGTAAACTACCGGACAAAACAGATGTGTGGACAAAAATTCGTTGACGGAATGCCCTGAAACCGTCGAAACCTAAATTATAAATGCAATCAAAATCAATACACTGCATGGTTGGCACAACTATGCACGTCATCATCAACTGATACTGTCCCTGTTGTGAGCCATATTTTTTTTATTTTATAGCGCATTCCCGGTGATTTTAGATCAGTGCCATGTAAAAATATGTATTCGTATGAAGGAATAGAGGAGAGGGCGGGAGTGTAAAACCGATACTCGCAATACCGGTGCCTTTTCTGACGTTTGCTGTACTCTCTGTCTATATTCAGATAAACTGGATAAGGAGAAGACTCCTGAATCTACCGGGGTTCTTCGAGGTGGAGCTAGTTCATTCCAAAGTGCTCCATCCAACATCAGAACTTCGTCCTCTCCCGGAACAACGCAAAATTTCCGGTCCTCGTCCCCCTCTAGGACTTCGCGTATTCCCAGGAAACAACCTGCTCGAGGAACTCCGTCTATTCCTGGTACTTCATCTCGTTTTGGAACTCAGTCTAATCCTAAAACCCACTCTAGTTCTAGACCTTCGCCTAATTTTAGAACTCAGTCTAATTCTAGAATTCAATCTATTCCCAGAACCTACTCTATTTCAAAAAGTCAGTCTGTTTCTAGAGCACCGTCTAATGCTAAAACTCCGCCTGTTCCCAGAGCCGCATCCATTCCAATGACTTCATCTTTCCCCGGCTCTAAGTCCCCGTACCTTCCTCGCAATAATGGATCCAATTACTACATTTGCGGAAATTCATGTCCTCCATGTCCCCAAACTGGGACATACCCAGGAAGAACTCAGTATTCCTGTCAAACTCCATACAATGTAACCTCCCAAAACGTTGCGTATAGCAACGGGTCGAAGTATACTGTCTCTAACAATTATCCTTTGAATCAAAGAACAAGAGGTGGACGTGAAACTCCGACTCACTCTTCCCCTGTTTCGAGAACTTCTGATCGCTCGATGCACGTTGATAAGACTCCATCCTCTGGCTTCCGTTCTGCCCCTCAAGAAACGCCAACAGCAAACATGGCTCCCAGTGATTGTCCCTCGGAATACACTCACAGGCCTCTTTTAAAGATTCCCATCCCCTCGTATCCTTCGGTCAGAAGGGTCGTGAATGTTTCCAATAAGACTCCAACAGAAATCACAATATCTGTGACGCCGAACCTTCGTAGCAGGACAGGTGCATCTGTATACTCAGATCCGAATATAGTCTCTGGGCAGAGCACTCCGCGGCCTCTTTATCTTTCAGTGCCTGATAAATCAGCTCGGAACTCGCCAGAGAAGGATGAACTCAATACCAAGGAAAACCATTTTTCAGATTCGACCTCGCGGGCTGCGTCTATCCACATACCCCCTACATTTCAGGAATATCGTCATTTTCCATCGGAATCGTGTCCCAAAATGCCTCCTCTACGTCCAAATATCCCTTCGAATTCTATTGCCAGAACGTCCCTGCCTCCCGTGTCACTTTCTTTTCCTCCAAGCTCCTTAAGTAATATCGGATTCTCAATCTCTGTTACTCCTACCGCTCGAGTATCTCCTGATGTTCAGAGCGATGTGAAAAGCAAGGTAGGTGGGAGTTCTTTAGCGCCTTCAAATGCTGCTGATGATTTAAAGAGAGAAACTTTGTCTGTTTCTCAATCAATAGCCGCAATTCCTTCGTCGTCATCGTCAATTCATCAAGCTATTCATACAAAATCATCAAAAAAAGGGAAGAGGTTGAAAAATCATTCCTCGTCAAAATACAGGGATAAAATTGAAATGACCAGTGTTACGAATCCGAAATCTAGCTCTAAAGGCAGGATACCTGGTGGAGCGACTGTTTTTAATTCAGTGAGGCCTTCAGTTAATAAATCAGAAAAATCCCCGGTGCATTCAGATTCCCGAACGGATTCGCTTCCTACCTGTGAATCGGATGACTCTTTACCATCAGCCACGCCTGACCAAACTGCGTCTACAAAATCAGAAAAATCGAAAACTAAAAAGCAGAGAAAAAGTGGCATTTGGGCAAGGATGCTCAGAGACTGTTCCTCGTCTATCCGTAGTCAACGGTGTGCGACACCGCCATCTTTAAAACAAGGCATTTTACCGTGCCCCGTGCCTCCGTGGAAAGGAAGATTTGCAAGCCTTTTTGGAGCAGTATCCTCCTCAGATGTAAAATCAAGACAGCCTGACCAGTCTGACTCAGATTCTACTGATTTGGTTTTTTTAAATACCCAACCGGCCCCGTATTTAGGTCACGAGTTTATAGATCCTTGTCTGTATGACTCTGATCTCTTCCCGACACCATCATCCTCCTCCTCAGAACCTGAGAATATTCCGACTCTTATTCATAGATTAAAAGAGCGGAAAAAGTTTTGTAAAAGACTGAAGAAGCACACGCATGACTTTTATCGCAACCAACGGGATGAAAGCTGACGAGAGTAAGCCGAGCAAAGTAAATTTCATAAAGAGGGTTACAAATTTTTCCAAAAATTTGGAAAAAAGAGTGGATTGTTTTTTCTTAGCGCAACTCTCACACAGTGCTAACCGATTAACCGATTCCGAGTTTTATTTTCTCAATAGCCTTTATTTCTTAATGATTCATTCGCTCTCGCCCCTAGAAAAATCGATATGTTTTGGACTTATTTAAACATTTTTCTAGCACATTTTACCCGAGTGAATAGTATGGATGCTCTTTGATAATGCACTGCCATCCATTCAAATTACTTGAAGATCTATACCCCCTATTCTGTCGTGCTAAGGTTGAACTCCGTATCAGCCTTCAGACGTTGCCAAGTTTCCTCAAATAAAAATCGAAATTACGGGGAATATTGTGACTATTATTTTCTCAAATTTTCAGACAATTTTGTGCACAATTTAATCTAAAATATCTGGAAATTTCAAGGAAAAATATGCATGAATTTTGTCAAAAATACAGGTTTTATCAAGGGAAACTTCTATGGCAACTCCCGAATGTTCATACGCTGTTCTTCCTTAGCACGGCAGAATTGAACCAGTACTTTTAAATAGAGCGTAATTCGGAAGTCCATTTTTAAATTTTTTTTTTTTTTTTTTTTTTTTTTTTTTTTTAACTTTACTTTACTTTACTTTTATTACCCAGGAAAGCGGTAGTAGTCCTCTTTATGGAACGTAAGTGACAAACACGCAGGGACGCAAGAATCACGTGAAATAGCGTTAAAATACAAAAAAAAAAAGAGTTTTAAAATTAGACCTCCTCCCTTTTAAAGGAACCAATTCAATTTTTACTGTTAGTCAATCGCAATCTAACTGAGGCTAATTGAAAATTTCGATTGTTTCATTTCCTTTTCAGGGAATTTTTTATTTTCTCTTCGCAGACGCATTTCATGAGTGTTGCCTTAAAGGTAGCAAAAAAACTTTATCTGCCGACAAATAATGAATTTCCTTTTCATAGGTGTTTTGAAAGCAACAATTTGTGGAATTAACTATTTTTCGCATCCTAAACCATCTTTCGTACCTCAAACCTGTTTTTAGTCTGGTTTACATCTGATTAAGTATGAATCGCTGCCATAAGGAATCAAAAATAGTGACTTTTGGGGAAATTTGTTCATATTCGTATCGATTGTAGTTCTGAAAAAGAGACTGAATGAATCTCATTTAAAGCTCCAACCTCCACTCTTTTTGACATTCGAAAGGAGCTTTTTTTCTGTTTTTTCGGTTATTTGAGGTCTTTAATCCATTTGAGAATTCTGCAGCCTTAGAAATGAGCATGTTTAGTAATGTTTAATTCCTGAATTTATGAAAACTCGAGAGTGCACTGAGTTCCCAGGAATTTTCATCGATTTTTTGGAACAATAATAACCCACGAAAAACGATCTCAAAAAATTCTCCGACGGGCGTTCGCCGTGGCCATTTTTAGTGATCCTCCGTTGCGCGTTCTAATGGGAGCTCAAAAAAGGCAGCTTAGAGCTCGTTTTTCGTGGATTAATATTGTTCCAAAAAGTCGGGAGTAATTCCGAAGAAACTCTGTGCACTCTCTAGTTTTCAGAAATGCAGGAATTAAACATTACTAAACAAGCTCATTTTACCAAGGTCTATGGTAGTGACACTATTCGGCAAAAGGTTTGGTCATCAAAGCCAATATAATGCATAATTCTAGAAGTAAATAAAGGATCCTTTAGCAGGATTGCCATTCTTATATTGAAAGCCATAGACAACTGTAACTTTTGCGGACTCCCGGGGATTTTAGAGCAATACCTTGTCAAAGTTAACAAAAATAACTAAGCAAATATTCTGATCAATTAAATTCAAGTTTTTTTCTTACTTTTGGCGTGCTCTCTATATGTACTCAGATGAAGTGGAACAGCAGGATTCATTTTGCCCTGAACTGCCGTATGATGATGGCGCCAGGTATTGTATCCCCGGGACTTCGTTCTCAAAACGCCTTCCACAAATCGATGATGCAACCAATCGTGCAATTCTCAATTCTCCGTACCCGTCCAAAACTGATAATATACCAGAAGTATCGGTATTTTTAGATGCAGGAGCTAATGGTCGTGATAAAAGTTCCTGCTCTCCTCTCACGTCAGGCATTTCCAATAAAACCAACTACTGTGCCTCCCAAAATTATCCTCCAGCTCAGAAAACACCTAGTCACTCGTGCCCTGAAATTCCGCTTCCTCCAAATTTTGATTCACAGCAATATTTAGCGCCCCCCAGTTGCACTTCTCGCAGTTTGTCGTGCAAAATAATCAATGCATTCCGAAACGCTGCTGCTGAATGTTCATGCCCCGGAAGACCATTGTATGATCGTTGGAGATCTGAAAACTGCGATGAATGCCAAAATTACGCCCCTATATCCAGGAACACTCCTGTGTTTTCGGGAAATGCTAATGTGCCCACGTGCCCAGGTGTGACGGGAACTCAGACTGTCACAGATCTAACTGGTTACACGGTTTCTATAACTCCAATCGCTACGGGCTTACAAGGTGCAGGAATGGAACCAGGCACTGCAACTGCATCCACTCCCTTGCGTTGTGCTACAAACAAGGACTCCTCCGCGTCTGTACCTCAAACAGGTATTGACACAGCTGAGCAATGCCACGCCGCGACTGCACCTGCCTCAACAGTGCCTGAGTCATCTGCATCAGTACCTTCAAAATTCGACGCATGTAGAAAACTGCCTTTTTACTCTCATAACAATGATACTCTCCGTCAGACAGGTTTTGGTACAGCCAGTCCATATACCCATGATGTATCTACAAATGCACTCCCTGGAGCACTTCCTGGTGGTCCATGTTCCGTTCCTCCCGTTCCTCCTACTGCATGCTCTATATCCCGTGTAGCACCAGTTGCATACTCTGCGGCTCCCACAACTCCATCTCCATGTCACATTGCTGCTTCATCTCCCACCACATGTGCCGTGACTTCTACACCGCAGACTTCAGTTGATCCGACTGCCCCTCCTCCTCCTCAGGATTGTGACAATGCAAAAATCTCGAAGGTTGCATCGACTCAATATTTTGACACACCCAGATCTGAATCTCCTACCCTCCAGACGTTCAACGACGAATTAGGTTACACCATCACTATAACTCCTACTGTTCGTTTACCTGCTGACAATCTTGACTCTGGCACTCCTGTATCCAATACTGTTTCCAACGCAGGCGAATACTCGGTCACCCTTAAACCTCCTACTTCGGAACTTCGTAATAAACCTCAAACTTCTGCATCACACATATCTCGGACAGTGACAGATGCCGGGTATTCTGCTCCCTTAAATTTACATACCACGGCAATTTCCGACACCCCAATTCAGGAGATTTACAAAAATCCAGCTGGACAATCAGTTTCTGTAGTCTCACCCAGTCAAGTTGTTCCCGATACCGGCGAATATTTGATATCCGTAAAATTTCCTCCACCGGGAACACAGACGCAGAAGCACTCACGAAAGCATGCAGTTCGAGGGGGTGCAACGCCTACGGCACTTTCAAATGGTTCGAGCTATATAGACAGTGCTGGTAACCCTCTTTCTGAAGGAAAAGTGTTGCGTAAGCAATCACGCAAATGTCATAGCGTAAAAAACGCCAAAGCTGCCCGGAACACTGTAAAAAATGCGACTAAACCCATCCCTGTAAAGAAACCGCGTAAGCATCGAAAGCATGGAGCCTCCAAACCCAAATCAACTTCAGAACTTTCAAAATCATCAAGAAATAAAACGTTGGCTTTATCTTTATCAGTTTCGCCAAATTTCTCAGCGTCATCTACGTCTTCATCGTCGTCTGGTGGCTCTCCGCTGGAAATTTCATCAAGGCAATTAAGGTCAAAGAAGCAAAAAAAACCGAACCATCATAAAGAGTCGAAAAAACATTACTCAAAGAAGCAACACCGCCGAAAGACTTTCCGCCGGGAATCAAAAGAATGTGAGAGTGATAGTAACTTTATTATTGAGGAGGAGGGGACTTCAGAAGAGACATCAGAGTCATCTAGCGTGAGCTCAACCAGTTCCAGCGGTTGCGAAGATCTACAAAACAAGCAGACACAGGAGCAGCTGCAGAAGGTCCTGTGCCCCGATTCGTTTCCTGAGATGGACACGATTTCTCGTTGCACAAGCTCATCAAGCTTTAAAACTTGGTGTAGAGGGGTCTTTCAGAAAATAACTGACAAAGAAAGGTCAGCGCAATTTTCCAAAAAAGGTGGAAAACCTGGATGCACTTCGTATTCGAAATCGCCAAGCGAGACTAAAGGAGCGAAGTCGAATCGGTTTTGTAAGTTTTTTTCCTCTCTCAATTCATCTTTAAGTCCAAAAAGCACTCAAAAAGTATCTAACTGTTCCTGCGCAGACGTAAAGTCTAGATGTCCCGTCCACCAGAAACATACAGAGGTTCTCCCTGAAAAAACAAAACCACGTAAACCCTGTAAACCCAAAAAACGATCTAGGGCGGCTATTTCATCCCATCAAGATCATTCTGATGAGTCTGATGATTCGATCTTAAAGCGGACGCACAAGTCTACTCCTGAAACTTCAAAACAGCCGGACGTCCAAAAGCGGTCAAAAAAGGCAAATCGTTTGCCCTCAAATCAGGTCAAGGAGTCCGATCTTTCCGATGATGATCAATTTATCAAATCTGAAACTGATGACTCTGAACAATCTGAAAATTCTACCGTTTTTCCTTTAAAACATTCAGGGAAGGCTTCCTCTCCAAATTCAGATCACCACTTTGATTCTTCTCTTGAAAATACACAGCATTCTGAACAGTCTGTTTCTGATATCTTGCAACAATCTAGGAAAGCCGCTGGGAAGTCTGTTTCCGCTGGTTCACAACAATATAGATCATCTACCCTTTTCATTCAAGAGCAGCCAAGCCAGTCTGATTTGATAAAACCTACACGATCTTTGAAGTCTGTGTCCTCCGTCTCTAAACATCTTGGGAGGTCAATTCACTCCAGCGTAGGTTTACTAAGTCAGATTGGCTCTATAAGCTCAAAAAATTCGGGCTCTGTCGCCGCTACTTTGAAACACTCCAGGGGAACCATTTTTTATGATCCAGACTATTCTAGCAAACACGTCTTACATGTAAAATACCCGCAACAGTCTGAAAATGTCATGCCTAGAGTTGCTGATTCCGCCTTCTATAAACCTGGAGAAAAATCTGAAAGGCCGGAGTCCGATATCACTGGATCTGGTGGAAAAAAGACTTATGAATCAGTGTTTGGTGCGACACTCTCTGAAGAGCAAACGAATGAGTCGATATATGGAGAGCCTGTGTGCCGTATTCCTCGAATAATTAGTTACGGGGAATTTCTTCAGGATAACTCAAATATTCGTTTCCCGTTGATGTGTAAAGAGAAAGCCATTGAAGAACGAATGGCAAATGCACGAACCTCATTTTACAATTATCTCACGTCCGCTGAGAAAGATGAGCTTCGCGAAAAATTGTGTGGCATTGGCCATCAAGCGAGGAGAGAAACTGGTCAAAAAGAACACACATTAGACCAAAGCAAGCAATCAATAGACTATATCAGGCAATCAACAGACCAAAAGAGATAATTAAAAGGCCAAAACAATCATTCTTAGAACAGTAATGTGATCATTGGAAAATTTTTACTTATCATTCAGAGAGGCTGAAGAATGGGTAGATATATCGAGTCTCTTGATCACAAGGGATTAGACTTGACGTTCTAAATCCCTCCTTTGGTAAAATCAGATCAATAATGCTGCAATATTTCCTAACAAACATAAAGAAAATGCCGGAAAATTCTATTAAAAAATGCGGTAACCTTAGCCTTGCTTGGAAAAGTGTATTGATATCCTTTCCCATTATTTACTCCCTAATAACTGGTTTCTTTTAGATTTTTCAGTCTCAATTAATGTCTTTATGTCTTATCTTTGATTTTCACTTTAAAGATAAAGTGGGCGAAAAACAAAATTTTTGTGTCGAGCTTCCCATTGCAAAAACAGAGGAAATGTCAGCCTTTTTTTTAATTCCTTGAAAACTTTTTTTACGAGAGCGTAACAAAATTGTTAAATTACAATTTTTTTAAGAATTATTCTGTCAAAATTTCAAAAGCATATACCGTTATTATCAGATTTGGCATCACCATCAACATTTTTTAAAGTACGCTTTTTTTATTCTCTATCAGGATAAGAATTGTGGAATAAATCAAAATTATAATACCAGTAAATCTTATATCATTTATTGTATGTTAGTCCAAGATGTGCTTACGCACTTCTTGAGGTACTTATTGGCCAAGGATATTCACAAAATTACTATGCAGTCACTAAAAAGTTGTGAAGTTGCGGTAATTAAGTGTATTAATGAGAAACCTCTATTAAGTTTTCTGAAAAGATATGTGGTTTTGTAAAGTAAAATTCATTTCGGAGTTGCATTTTGTCAAATAATTGTTCTGGAATAACAAAGACTTGAATTCTACGATTTTGCCAGAAGATTCGTGTCTGAAACTAATTTCGACGGCGAAACGGCAATAATCCCGTTGGAATCTCGCTTCCGGGGTTTCGAAACGAATTTACCTGCCTCAAATTTTAGGAGGGAATTGAAAACATTTTCATTTAAAGTTCTTAAGAGTCCCTTAAAAAGATGAAATGAAATTACCCACAATTTACCTTTAATCCGCATGATCTTTCAGAAAACTAGCAGAACGTAGTAGAATGTAAATTATTCCCCAATTATGAAATCGAGATACAACGTTTCATAGTTGCATCATTAATTTAGGAATATCTCGAGCTTCTATCTGATGCATCAATTTTTGACGCGTTTCTCTGGATACCACAAAAATTTCACCTGACTCCTTCATTTGTGGCACCTTGAAAATGCGTTTGACTTTACTTGAGGGGCTTGGAGGACAAGGCACATAAGTGCAGTTTTTGCAATTTCGAGAAATAAGCGTTTGAAGTTTTGAAATTACATGGATCCTTATGGCGGAATGAAAGTTCAAACTGACTTTTTGATGCTTAAAAATCGGAATTTGGAAGCGAATTTTTCACAAAATATGTATTAAGACTAGTTTTACTTGAAAGTATTAATATCTCAACTTTTTCAGAAACTGCCTTTATGCGCCTTGTCCTCCAAGCCCCTCAATTTAACTCTCGTTCTGTGTTTGTTCCTCGTGTTGGTGAGAACTGAAAATATTTCCTTCAACAGTCGTGTCTCCTCAAGTTCATTTGACCTAGTCCTCCCTGGTAAAAATTGGCAGTAGAATCTGTATTCCAAAATACCATAGACCTACAGCCGGCTGTAAGATTTCCAATTTAGCTTCTACAGCCGGATACACAATTTCTTATAGCCTTTTATGGCCGATGGCGATTAAGCAACAGCCAGGCAATAAAGTTTATACTAAATGTTACCACTTACGGATGCTAGGACTTAGTGAGTTTTTGGACTACCGCTCTCTTTTTGGGCCGTAGTATCTTGATTTATTTTGCGAGGAAAGCTCCGTACTTTTGATGGATGCCTGCCATTCCTAATATGTTAGCGCGCCTTCAATGTCATATAATACTGTGCAATACCTCTGGTGTGAAATAGTTGCTTCAAGCGCCGTGGCACGCTGCAGCGCGGCGGGCGGGCGGCCAGCAGCGCTTACGAACCTAACAGGGATACTTCACGCGTTGCGCAATGCGTGAAGTATCCCTGTTAGGTTTGTAGGCTCCAGTGCGTCGCTGCTCCGCTTTGTGTTAGGCTCTAACATTTAATCTGGCGGAGTCAGCGTTTTTCAACTCATGATTTTGAAATGTTTGCACGCTCTGTATGGATTATTCTCATTTTAATTGATTAAAAAAATATGTAATAAAGGAAAATATAATGTGTGTTTTGTAAATATTAAGGTGGTTCCGTATCAAACTTAATGATTTTCAAAGCACACGAATTTCTACACAATTTCTTATAGACTTTCATAGCAGATGGCGATAAGGTGTGTAATCCGGCGATAGGAACTATAGCCCGCCTTCATAATTTTTTGTCACTTCGTATAGCCCGGCTCTATGATTTTCTCCGCTTTCCGCAGCCAGCTATGTGATTTTCTATCGCCTCCTTTAGCCGGCTATAAGAATTCTTATAGTATTTTGAAACGCAGCTCCTATCGCCAATTTTTACCAGGGCTTGCTTTTCGCTTATTTTCTTGAAATAATGGATGCGCGTTTAATCAATCGAACAAGATCTATATTTTGTGAGTTAGTTTGAACATGCACCTAAAATTTCAGTAACTAAGAAAGAAATACTTGTGAGATTTTGGATACGAAGAATAAATCTAATCTTCAATGAAGAAAACCCGTCTGATAACCCTTGAAAGTCACGTTTAAACCCATCTTTAGGACTTTCCAAAAAAAAAAAAAAACAGTGCTGTGATATAGAGTAGCAAACCTATGTCAGGTGCATTCACTCTAATTTAAGCCCAGTGATAAAATTAGATATAGCAAGATTCAAGTTGAGATTTAAAAAAAAAAAAAAAAAATCAGTACCCAGCACTGATTTTTGTGCGACGCCATCACACATTGTTAACCCATCTCCCAGTCTGGCACCATTCACACAACCAAGATCAAACCTTCCTTCCTCTCAGTGTGACATATTCTGCCGTGCTAAGGAGAAAAGCCGTATGGGCCTTCAGGCGTTGCCAAATTTCCCCTAGCAAATCAATAATTTTCAGGAAAGTTTTTAAATATTTATCTACCAATTTCTCAGATAATTTTGTTTGTAATTCGATCTAAAACGTCTGAAAATTTCAAGGACAAATATTGACAATTTTCCTCAAATACGAACATTTCATCGAGGGAAATTTGGCAATAACTCTCGAATTTTCATACGGCGTTCTTCCTTAGCACGGCAGTATTACTCGCCATACCTTCCATGCATGCCCTTTCCCCTTCCCTCGAAATTTGAGCGATGTGTGTGGAGTGTGGCGACTCAAATCACGCTAAAAGTACTAGTAGAGGGGAGAATAAATTATTACTCAAGATTAACTCGCCCAACGAAGGAAACGAAGCACCTGCGCTTGACGCGTTTTTTTCCGCGGAAGGCGCAACAGGTACCACTAGTTGTTGATGTTGCGTCTTCCCTGCGCCCTTTCATTGCTTTTTTCCGCCGCAGGGGGGCACCAGGAGTACTTGAGGGAGCGAAGCAAGCTGTCGCCGGAGGAGAAATTCGCCTTCCCTGTCCTCTCCTCGCATTCCTACGGTTGGCGGATCCTCTGCGCCTACTACCCGCGGAAGACCTACGCCCGCAAGACCAAAGATTTCCGCGCCGGGGACGCTGGTCCCATGCCGTACACCTGACCAGAATGAAAGTCCTCTGAGAACTTTGGCGCTGGTGGCGTCAGTGCTTCTCAATCAAACCTCGCAAACTTCAGTGGCGATTCGCGCAAATTGGTAAAACCAGATTGTATCTGATTTGGATCTTTTAGACCCTTGCAACAATTGGATGGAACTAAGAAATTGTTAAATATCTCTGAGTAAAGTCGAAGGTGCCCATTTTGCCCCTAGATAAGTCAAGTGCTATGAATGCGATGTAAAATCCACTCTTTGTGGAGTGAGCTTCGCTCTTTCGGGGCAGATCTCACTCCATATTCAAATCTCTAAGGTCCGCTACGGGAGGGTGGATAGGCTCCGGAATGCTCTCTGGACTTAGCTCCAAAGTTTCTATCACTGTAGTCGCAAGTGCAACAACTTAGGACTCCTGACACATGTCAGATGGAGGCGCATTTGAAATCGGATGGAGAAAAAGAAAGAGGAAAAAAGGAGGAAAAGAGTAAAAGGAAGAGAGTAGATAGAGTGGAGAAGATGGAATAAGAGGAAAGGAAGCTGAAAAGGTTGAAGAAGATGAAGAAGCAGAGGACGAAAAGAGGAAGATAAAAAAGAAATCGACGACGGTAACAGATTCTCTTCGTTCATCCTTCTCTCTTTTTGTCTCCTCCTCTTCTTCTTCTTCGTCTGCCTCTTTATCGTCATGCCCTTCTTTGTCTGAATCTTTTTCTTCTTCGATTTTTCTCGTTTTCATATTTTTCATCCTCTTCGCCCCTCTTTCTTCTTTTCCTCATTCTATCTCTAATGTTTCCTCATCTGGCATTTGCTAGGACCCCTACGATCTAGGTCTGTTAGACTATGAATGGTTAAATGTTGGTAAAAGAATCGATTTTAATTGAAGGAGGTTATCTCTCCTCGCGCCAATAATTTATGATGGATTTTAAAGGAAAGAAAGTAATATTGCCAACGTGCTAGGATCACTGCTGGATGACATGAACCGCTGGGACATACACTTCGAATGAACTACCTTACTACGAAGGTCGATATATGGATTACATTTTGCAATAAGGAACCACTATCTCTGGCTCTCCCATAAAAGCACATATCTGCATAGAGAAACCAATGTCATGTATGTTGTTTCTAAAATGGGCCAGAAATAGTGGTTCCTTACGGCAAAATGTAATCCGTATGTGAAGTACTGTATTGCAGGATCAGCCATTGCGCTGAGGGGAAAAAAGTGAAGTTTAGTGGCAATTGTGTCAATGAAAAATGTGAAATTGACCATAAATCGTTTTAACAATTGAAAACAAAAATTATTTTTTTAGTTCGACCTCGCTCTTACAACTGTATAAAGTAGACACATTTTATGACATTTTCCCGGTGGCATTATTTGAAGAAGAGGTGATATAGATAAAGAACTTCATTAGTCACATTAGTTAATAATTGCCAAAATCTTAGGGTAGAGAACAGGTGCATAGAAACTTTATCACTGAAAAGAGAAAACCGCGATACATAGTTTTGGTGAGTTCAGAACCCTCCATCGCTATCCTCTCTTCATTAGTTACCTGAAGATCTTGAATATATTGGAGCTTACATATTAAAGTAGAGAAAGGAGCCATTTGACGTCTATTAGTGAAACTCTGTGAAAGCCAAAACCCATTGGGTATGGCTTTAGCTGCCTGGGAGCAAAATATTATTAAATGGCTAATTTTGGAGAGGGTTATTCTTATTGCTAGCATATAGTCAATCATCTCCTTATACATACTTATATTCAATGTATGTAGAATTACATAAGATTTATTATAACCAGTAACCACCTTTACATTGTCAAATAGCTTTCCTGCTCTAATTTCAGTTGGTGGATTATCTTAATGTTTGTTTTTGCTTCGTTGAACTAAATCTCCGGTTCATAGGACCGCGCTCTCAGTTGAAC